GGATGAGTGTGAGTAGCCAGATCTGAAGACAAGGAATGGCTTGAATAGAATCCCATAAAAAACACAAAGCATAACCCAAGAGAAGTTGGATTCTATAAACAACGATTCCTCAAAGAACAGGAGAAAGAAAAATTATATGTTGGCAAAACCTTTGGAGTTGGGTGAAGAAAGCAGAAAGGAACTCTGGATCTGTTTTAGCCTCTTCGAGGGGAACAGAGGAAAACTAAGAAAAGGATGGGGTAGGGTTATGACTTATTGTTAGCTAAAAGCAACTGTAATTACATTTGTACCCTTCAAACTCAAAAGACTTCAACTCTGACACAAAGGGTAGAGATCTAAGGCTTAACCCACTATGCCCCCTCCAACTTGTCGTGATTGAGGGTTTTAGCCCCTCAAAAAAACACTGTCTGTTATTTAGCCCTTGAACTTGTTGTTTTTTAGGGTTTTGGCCCAAAATTGACTACAGTTAGTCTTGTCCATCCCTAACCCATTAACCCACACCTACTCAATTCCATGTCCTTGCCACGTGAGGGGAAAAATGGACCAAGTTGGACCAATAGAGGTGAAAGAATTTGACTTAAATCCCTCAAACTTGTTGCCTTTGAGGTGTTTAGCCTTTCAACATATAATATGAGAATTTTAGCCCCTAAACTACATGTTTTCTAGATAATAAACCCAAAAATTAATAGCAGAAGTAATGTAAGTAACATAACCATTTATTTCTCTATTAAGTCACACTTTGTCAATATCATTTTAGCATAAAAATGATCATATGTCATGTAAGCCTTGCATTTATTACAATTTTAGAAATAAAAGTAATTTTTACTTCTTTCACCTCTTTCTTGCTTCCTTCTCCAACTTTTTCTTCTTCTTATACCCTCCTCTACCCTCTCCTTTTCCATAAGAGAACCCTATATCTAATTAGTGTAGAATTTTGCATTGAACCATAGGTGTCCTTCAAAGCTTCCAATTTTTACTTAGCAGGTGTTAATATTTGTGGGTCTTTTGTTTTATCTATGATGGAAATGGTATTTAAGGCTAACAATACCATTATCACTAAGAAGATGTAGGTGATGAGAACCCAACAACCATGTCCAAAGGAGTAGCTTTGACATAAGGAGAGAGATTTGAAAAGGTGGAGGAGAGAGGTAGAATAAATAAAAATTAATTTTATTTTTCAAATTAAAATTAATTGGGATCCACATCCATATGTCATAGTATCACTTTTTTACTTACATGGAATTGAAAAAATATAACTTAATGAAGAAATGAGTGGACATATTATTTACATTACTCTAGTTATTAATTTTGAGTTTATGATATAGAAGATGTGCAAATCAATGGTCAAAATTCTCATATTAAAGGGCTAAAACCGTTAAAGACAGTAAATTCAAAAGTGCCAAGTCAAGTTTTTCCACTTTTATTGGTCTAACTTGGACCATTTTTCCTCCTATGTGCCAATGACAAGGCGCTGAGAAGGCATAAGTCAACGGCCTAGGGACAAACATGACTAATTATCATCAATTTTGGGCTAAAACCCTCAAAAACAATAAGTTTAAGGGTTAAATAGTAGATATTGTTTGTTGAGTGGCTAAAACCCTCAATGATGACAAGTTGGAGGGGGCACAAGGGGTTAAGCCGAGATCTAACTATAGTAGAGTAGCCCCACTCAAATCCAATCAAAGATTAGAGTTGGTTTTATAATCATGATTGGGTCTCTGAACTTTAAGTTTTGGGCCAAGTTGATCCTTAAATTTTAAAAACTATCAAAATCTTCCTTAAACTTGAATTTTCCGGCACCAATTTGGTGTTTACTGGTAATCAAGGTTTGTATTGTAGACTAGTTATAAATTTAAGTCTTGGAGCTTGTATCTAATAAAAAAATTAATTTTTTTAAATGTATTATATTAATATAAAAGAGTATTTTTAAGATTACTCAAAGAAGAATTAGTTTATCAAGCACAAAAAAATTGCTCTAAGACACCATAACAATAAACAAAAAAATATAGGTACTCAATATTAAATTTAAAATTAATTGTTTGGTTATAATTAAATCAATCATCCTCTCCCATATGGAGCAAATGTCAGTCAGAATGTGTAAAAGATTAATTAACTGATTTTTATTTGGGGTAATTTAGCACGTATTATTAAAAAAGAATACGTTCACATAATGGGGTATGATTCATATGAAAATTCGAAATTCTATTAATTGATCGCAGCTAAATAAAACCTAAACCAAAGCGACTAACCTTTTGCGTTCTTCGTGAAGGAAGAAGCAGGCGATTTATCATCAACTTCAGACTCTGTTACCTTATCCTTGGTGCTGTCTGAAGATGGGAAATTAACTTAACAGTCTTCCACAGGGGAACAATTAAAAAAGATTATACATTTGAAGATGAGAAATTAACTTAACCCTCTGTATATGGTTATTTTAGAATTAGTATTCCTCTATTTCATAATAAGTTGTAAAGAGGACCAAATTATAATATGATTGATCCTAATATAAAAAGAAGAAAAAATATGATTCGATTGTAGAAAAAATGAATATCATGTTATTATGAAGACTGGTTAAAAAGTTTTAACATGGTGAAGAAATCTCTAATAATAGAAATTTTATGATAACAAAGCAATAATATGAACAAAATAAATGATAAGTGAGAGAGATAGAAAGATACAATACTACATAATTTGGGATAATGCTAGGACATTATGATGCATTAAGGCCCCCCTAATCTATGGTACAAAAGCCTCTATGGGCTTTGCACATTTATTTTTTTTAGTTCCTTTTTTACATATGAGCAACCCTATTTATATGGTGAGAGATATATAATATAAAAAAAATAACAATTAACTGAAAATCTTCTTGTTAATAAGATTACAATCAATATCAAATCCTTGAAATTAATCAATTGATAAATTGATCAATCTTTATAATCACATAATATTCCTTCCTTCTATTTTATTAGAATCTATTATATTATGGTTTGATCCTCTTTACTCTTCCTCAAGTTGGAGCACGAAGATGTTAATAGAGTATCCAACTTGCTTGTAAATCGCTTATAGAGAGAACTCTAGAAGATGGTCAAATGGTCTCCTTTGGTCTCTTTTGCTCCTACAAGAAAGTAGAAGTTTTTTTTTTTTTTTGGAAAATGGCCTTTCTTTTTTATGTCTCTCTCTTCTTTTTTTTTTTATGTCTCTCTTTTTTTGTAATTTTTTTTCAAATCTAAATAAAAATTTTCAAAAAATAAGGATATGACTTAAATAAAATGAACTTATGTAAATTTAATTAATTAGGGATTGAGGCTGTTAAACATTTCCTCATTTATTAAGTCAATAAAAAAACTTTAATTCTCTATTTAAACAACTTTGAATTCAAAGTTTTAATTTGTATCCTTTTATTTTCTATTTTAATATTCTATATAATAATTTAAAGTTTTTAATGGTATCAAGGTACCTTTTTACTTTTCATATTTAAATTTATAATAATTTTTCGTGTTAAATCAATTAAAATTAGACTTTATTTTCTAAAAGAAATATTACAATATTTTTTATAATATTAGTATTTATCAACATGATCTTCAAAAAATTAAGAGGAAAACACTTCAAAACTATGTTATTTCAATAATATAAAAATACACT